GTCTATTGTGTTCAATTTCTCTTAAATATTATGAAGAGTCTTATATTATACTCCCTCTGTATTTTTTTTACATAATTGTTAAGGATATTACACAAGAAACCTAAATTACCTAATAAATAATATGTAACTTTTGTATATTCCCTATGTTAAATAATTCTTTATTATTTAAATAAAATTACTTCAACCAATCCCATAAAATACTGTAGAATTTAAATAGTCATAAAATGTAAAAAATATTAAATTCTTACATAAAAAAATGAAACAATCAACTAATTTTACACACAAAATTTTTTCTAAAAAATCACTTAATATGATACAGAGAGAGTATAGTTTTAAAACAAACAAATCCAAACGTTGAAACAAATGAGTATATATTTGTATTATTTAATGGAATATCAAATGAGGTTGGAGAGTTGTGTAGCTTTAAAAGTGTATGAAAGATACAATGTGCGGAATATATACTATATAGGATCGGATATATATGTCGATTCATGAATCGCAATCTAACCCAATTATAAACAAAGTTAGGTATTTGATCACATGGAAGATTACAAGATAGATAGATTATGTTCCAATTTTATCCATGCGCATTTGATTCTAATTCAGATTCTGATTTCCATGTAATCGATGCTTGATTATTTACTAGTAAGCGATACTTTAGTTATTTAGAGCATCTTCAACCCTATTCCAAATGCCACTCCAAACACCATTTTGGAATAAAATCTTCTTCAATTCCTTTCTATTTTCAACTCCAAAATAGAGTAAATCTATTTTTTTCTCCAGAGTAATCTCATTTTTTATTCAATTTTCGAGTTGAACTTTTTATTTATAAAATGATCCTTCAAATTTAAATCATTCAATTTTATGAGATAAATTTTTTTGTGTGTGATGATTTTCAGTTTGTTTGATATTTTTTTTTAATTAAAAAATTACAAGTTTATCAAATCACAAGAATTCACAACAAAATAATTATATTATATTATATGTATTAAGTTGTAATGTATGAGTAAGTTTTTTTTGTTAAAAATATGTATATATGTTTAAGTAATATATGTTATTATGAATTTAATTTTTAAAAGTGCATATTTTAAAGTTAATATGCATATATGTGTAAATTGATATACTAAAACATAATTTTGCAATTCTAATTTATAAAACAAAAAAATAATAGGGTAAATTTGTATGTTTTATAAATAAAGTGTATTATAAGTAACTGATAAAATAGTAAAAGAGAAATATATTTAAAATATGATTTTTGAAATAAGAAATGGAGTAATTGATTAGAGTAAAACTCAACTACATTTTGAAGTTACTCTATTTTAAAATGAAAAATAGAGTAATACATTGGAGATACTCTTATGAATCCTCAAGATTATTGGATATTCCTTATTTTTAGGTAAAAGATTATGTACTGGTACGAAGAAAATCAATTAATATTCATTACTTTTTATTTATAATGGGAGGATTTTTGTTTATCCCAAATATATTCTTTTTTTTTCGTTACCACCATGTGTTTTGTTGTAGCGTTTGACTAATTTTAGATCGAACAGATATTTTGACCATGTGTTTTTCGTAAAGTCATTCTCAAAATAATTCACCAACTTTGAAACGAAGTGTTTGCATATATTATAGTTCGATCAAATGGAACCCTCAAAAACAAAAAAAAAATCAAATTTACGTGGTGTATACTTCCAATGGTTCTGATCTATCCTTGTTAAAAAAATTAGATACTACAGTATTAGCTACAGGTTTAGAGAGCACTTCCATCGGAGGTTGTTAAGGGTTCCTTAAGTCAGTTTCTTAAATTAAAAATAACAAAAAATAAATGATAAATCAGTTAATTGTAAGAACTGTCTCTTAATAGAGAGATTTAAGATATGGTTTTTGTTATTTTAGAGATCTTATTGTGTCAATTTTTGATTGGTTGGGTTACTTTTATGAATAATAAATAAACAAAATAATACCAAATAATTTTCTTTCTCTGTTCTGTCTCTCTCCCGATATCAGAGAAAAACACAACCAATATGCTCTCCGATCTTCTCTCCGATCTTCTGCTCTGATCCAAATCTGTAGACATCTCCGATCGAAACCGAAGAATGAAGAGCCTTTTTCTTTGTCCATGTCTCTCTCTCTCCCCGAATGATTTTGGGTAATCCTGCTCTTGTCCGATCGATTTCTCCGATGCAACCCCGTCGATTTCTCTGATCCAAACCAAAGAATGAAGAGCGTGATGGTTGATTATATATTCAAATGATAGAATGAATGAAATCTGGTCACCGATATTTCTGAGGTAGAAATTTTAGGGGTTTTACATTCTCTTTGATTTCTCCCTTAATTACTTTCCGAAAGTAGCATGCATGTTTGTCTTAGCAATCTTTGGTGAACCGAGTTACGAATTTGTTGTGAATTGATTTGTAAATGGGTTTAATTTGGTTTTTCGTTTTCAAATTATGTGGGATGTTTGATCTAAAAGCAAATTTTGTTTTGAAAAAGTTTGTTGGTGAGCTTGATGATTACCCCAAAAGATGTTGTACCAATGGAGGAGAATTTTTTTTTAAAACATCATTTGAGTTCTTAAACTAACTTTAATGTTCAAATAATATTATAAAATTCTTAAGAAACCCATTAAGGTATTTAACCAATGAAGATGGCCTGTAATTAATTAGGACGGCTTGGTTTTCTTTTATTTAGGATTTAAAACCTTTAAAGGCTCTAAACCTGAAACTCAAGTGGTTTGTCCATATCTCTCAACTTGTATTCGTGCGTACATTGAATGAATAGTTACTCCTATGAATATTTTTAACTATTATGTACGTTTGGTATAAGCATGCACGTATTTTATATACATAAAATGCATGTTACTTCATCTCTATTTGTAGAATCAATACGTATTTAATTATACGTTATCTACGCATTATTTTAAAAGAAATAGTGTGAATAAAAGTTATAAAGTAGCCGTAGATGAATACGGAAACAGGAGGATAAAGCACGACTTTTTCTTTAAATATAAGAAATGAACCAACCATTAGCCAATTGGGTCTGACTCATGTTCAAGAAACTTTAGAAGTTACTTTCTTTCGAGTATTCATTGATTATATTGTCAATTTATTATATATAAGTAATAAGTGCGTTGATCAGAATAAAAAAAAAAAAGAGTAATAAGTGCACTTATCGGTTATTCCACAATCGATCGAGATAGAAGATCTTATAAGGAGAGATTACCGAATCCTATGTTCGAGTGCCACGTTGGTGAATGACTTTGCAAAATGAGATTGACCTGTTATAATTTTCGTACTGATATAGAGATCAATAAAAAATGATGTATCAAATGAAAATTGAGTTTAGATTTTTGAGCGATGTACATTTTAGAGTAGGGATAGTTTTTGGATATCAAAAATAAAAGAAGTGCACTGGACCGTCTATAGACAGTAGCAGAGTAGTGACGTAACGACGTGGAGATAAGTTAGGTTATCGTGTAACATGTGTACTGTGTACATAGCATCGGTTACAAATGTTATATTCTGTTATCATGCTTGTGACATGGTCTTGTCTCCTTTATATATATGGGGACATATATCATATATTCATATGTGCGAATAAACAGGTAACGAAGGAGAATTTTTAGAAAGAAATATACAAGATAGAAAAGTGGTCATTAACCTTAACTTAAGTGCGGCCAAATGTTTAGCAACTAAATAAATATGGGGTCGAAACATAAATTCCAAATTTGCTCACAAAGTGGGGTACAAAAGTGAGTGAACACTAGAGAGATTTAAAGGGGAGAAAGCATAAAGTTATACATACAAAAATGAAAAAGGAATTGTGGCCCTTGTAATTCTAGGGGCAAATTGCCGGAACAAAGATTTATTTAGCATTCGATTTTCACTATATATATAAGGAGACAAGGACCACAATAACAAACCAAGATTCTAAGAGTTTTGAAGACAAGAAAGAGCGAGAAAGAAAAGAGAAGATTATAACTTAATTAGTAAAAGAGAGAGAAGCAAATGGAGTGGAGGGCATGGTACTTAGATGCGGTTCTTGTTCCTTGTGCTCTACTTATGATGTTTTGTTATCACATCTACTTGTGGTATAAGGTTCGAACCGATCCTTTCTGCACCATCGTCGGGACTAACTCCCGTGCCCGTCGAGTTTGGGTAGCTGCCATCATGAAGGTATATATTACTCGAAAACAATCTTTCAAGTCTTATGATGATATTGTTGATATTTTATGTACAACCTATACAAATGGATGTGTTTTAATTAAAAGATTGTATAGCAAGTAGTAATTAATCGTCTTATTGGTCGGGGTCGAAGATAAGTTTTGTTGAACATAATTGCTTTTATTAACTACAATTTCAAATAAAGACTGCATACTAAGATGATTAGTTTAGGTGTCGCCCAAAATCTACATATATGCCTGTCATGCAAATAAAGTGATATAGTTTGGGATAGTAGTATAGGAATTATAAGCTAAACCTATAAGTTGAGTTCATCATATACTACTAGAGATAGAAGACTATGTGCACATTAATTATTATCTCTCTCTTTATATATATACACATATACAAATCATATTACTTATGTTGTGTTGGCCCATAGACTATATATCATACGATGTCACACAATCTAATGTATATGTCATTTTTTGTATATTTGTACACAATATAGTAAACATATAACTAATTTTCGAGTAGTTAACAATATATGAATGCGTTTTTTTTTTCAGGACAACGAGAAGAAGAACATCTTAGCGGTACAAACACTACGGAACACGATAATGGGAGGGACGCTAATGGCCACCACTTGCATCCTTCTCTGCGCTGGCCTTGCCGCCGTTTTAAGCAGTACTTATAGCATCAAGAAGCCTCTAAACGACGCCGTATATGGAGCTCATGGTGACTTCACCGTTGCACTAAAATACGTAACCATCCTCACAATCTTCCTCTTTGCCTTCTTCTCTCACTCTCTCTCCATTCGCTTCATCAACCAAGTCAACATCCTCATTAACGCTCCTCAAGAACCTTCTGATGATGATTTCGAGGGACTAGGAAGCTTCGTGACTCCAGAATATGTCTCTGAGCTACTTGAGAAAGCTTTCTTGCTCAACACGGTAGGTAATAGGTTGTTCTACATGGGCTTGCCTTTGATGCTATGGATCTTTGGGCCTGTGCTTGTGTTCTTGAGCTCTGCGTTGATGGTTCCTGTTCTTTATAACCTCGACTTTGTGTTTTTGTTGAGCAATAAAGAGAAGGGTAAAGTGGATTGCCATGGAGGTTCTAATGATCAATTCTCTCCTTGATTGTATATCTTGATGTTGAATATATATGATTAATGATAAACTTGTTTGTGATTAATCTAAAGTAGTTCAAGTTCATTGTTGCTAAATCGTTTTTTGGTAACCGGGTATTTTTTTGTAACTGGATTTTGATCAATGACGAAATTTAGTTTCATGATTCACCCAATTAAGAATATTTATCCTTCCTGGATTTCGAGTAACATGCAAATGCATATTAATTAAGCTTGAGTCTTGATGAATGTTGTTCGCTTAATTAGTTGCATATAAATTTTTCGAATTTGTTTCAGTATTGATTATTCGATGGTTTGATCTTCATATCTGCCTCTTTTTTTAAAGTTTTGCTCTCGTTCTTCCTTTTCATTTGAACAATTTGGGTTTTCATCAACTTAGATGTTAAAGGTATATATGTGGTATTTGGGCTTCGATGAACCATGTTTTGAGTGTTGGTTTAATTTTAAAACAAAATTAGGATATTCCCTCGAATCTGGTAGTGGAAATCTTACTTGTTCCCACGCAATAAAAAAAAAAAAAACGATTTTTACTTGTTTGAATGAGGTGACGTTGCATGAGTCACGACACCAAAATATCAAAGAATATTCATCCATATGATATTGGTATTGTATGTCCCCATTTCCCACACCTTTGATTTTACTTGGAATATTAATTTGAGTAGAGAGGAAAACCATTTCAAGTTGCAAAGAATCGGTGTAATATCAAGGATACCGATGAAGTAAGAAGATTATAAAGAGAAGAATAGTGAATAATAATTGTAAGAAAATCTTACTTTCTTATTCTTCTTATTCCCAAAATCAAAATGCTAGTGCTTCTAAAGCTTGAACGAATGCGTCTTGTAATGCTTGAAATGGCACTCGCAGATTTCAGGATCTATATGGATAATAGCCCAATGCTTACTGCAGCGATAGCCGAAATACTGTTTGTAAAGTGAAAAATGTATTGAACAATCTTTATACAATCGGTTATATAAAACGACCGCATTTTTCTTTGTTTGATACACAATCAAAAGCTTTAAAAAAACTGAAAAAAATAATCAAAATATTTCCAAAACATGAGCAAAACAGACAAAAAAAGAGAGAGAATATTATAGAAAATTAAACTTGTTTAATGTGAACATCACTTTATGATAATTATAACTCAAGAAATTGTA